GTACCAATTAGTCTATAATAAAAATTGAATTTGATGACATTATATTATTATTATAATCTGCGATAGCCTCTATAATGTGTTTAAGAGATTATATATGTATACATTATACATATAATACGTTCTGTTACAATAACGAGTATTATTAATTATTATTGAATTATTATTTATCGCATTATGAAATTATTATTATATGGCATTTTTTAAACTGCGAAGCGTCGTGATATATGTATTTTATTTTTTATTTTTATTTTTTCAGATGTTACTGTCCCGAGCCGTCGTCGAAAAAGAGTAATAGTCGAAGAGTGTTGCGAAAATACTTGCACGCCGAAACACTTAAAATCCTACTGCTGGGAAAATAGAAGGTAAACTTAACTAATACACTTAACGCTACATTTGTTCACGATCTCGAAATACGAATCAATAAATCGACATATACACATGGCCTGCTGTGCGCGACGATATTGTTATAAAATATTATCACGCTTGTCGACTGTATTTTTCGTGTCTCGTTTCCACTCGCGCACGGACGAATGGCTATAATATTTTATATTACATGCCTGTATAATATCTAACAAAAAATTCACAATGTTATCATAAAAAATCATACTGCAACTAATATCTAAACATGATTAATACCATCGTCTAATAATATATACCAAGTATTGAAATTTGCTTGTTCACTGTAACTATGTAAGTCTGCACGACCTTAGTCATTCCAATTAATTACGTAAACACATCCAAAGCCGAAATATACAGCCTGATAACGGGGTTGGTATTTGCAACCAGTGTCATAACCAGAATTTTGCTTGGAGGGGTTGGTGATAATTTATTACAAAAGAAAGATTTGACTAGAATCCTTCACGTAACATTGTTATTTACTAAATCCCGCATGGCCTTATGGCATAACTATGGACTATGGTTTACGAATTGCTTAAAAATAAATGACTTTTAAATAATAAGTATTTAGCTAAAACAAAAGAACAGATTATGTATAAATATCTTACAACTGATAATATTTTAATCGTACAAATTATTTTCTAGAAAAAAAATATGTTTGGAAAACAAAACTAACCTAGAATGTATTACGCGAAAATCATGCCCTAACCGTGCCGTCTTATGTAAACATTGTTGGATGACTCTTAATACAATTTAAAACCAACCTGCAAGTTCACATGTACCTATACGTAAAATTTGAAAAGTCGTGAATAATTTTTTACTAGGTACTTTAAAAAACCGAGTCTCTAATAATATAGGTAATAGTGTACTTGTGTCGGGTAGTTTATCGCCACAATGCATTTTCATTTCTAGTGGCGCCAATGGACGCGTTATAATATACTATTATAAGAACCCAAGCGTGAAATTTATTTTAACCAAGTGCAGCTAGTCTCGAAAATTATTCGAACACAATCAGAGAGAAAAAATTCGTAAAAAACACGCACATCGTATCATAATAATATTACTAATCGCTGTGTTGGGACAGGAAGTTTTTGCAACTCTGCCCTATGCTTCCTCATTACAGTATGTTAATAGGAATTAACACGCATCGCTGTCGCAATATATTACAAATCGTATACCTATAATAATTTTATCTTATAATTCGATTTCCTAGATTGTTATCATCGTAAATATGATATTATTACGATGCGCCAATACAAGTAAAACTCTAAGGCTTAAAATATTTCATAACCGTTGTTAAAAACATGCATATGCATTTAAATGAATATAATTATTTTTTTTCTTTTTTTATGTTATCATAAAATAATAAATTGTTCGAAAGAAATCAAATACTTGCTAGATCAGTCGATTGCGATTTTTTTTTTATTCTTCTAAATAAACAGTAGAATAAATGGACATCGTTGATAAAATTAACAATAATTATTATTATGCGCGATAGCTGATTTTACAACATTAGTCGACCGAGACAAATAATATTAAGTATAAGTTCCGAATAATAATTATACCATCAAACGTGTCACGTGGTGTGGAAACGCAAACAAAAAATCTCTTTAACAAAAAAATTTGCTGTGTTACAATACGCGCTTTTATAAAGATATAATACAATGTTAAAAAACCTAGAGTTACATTAAAATGGCAAATAATTAAATCTTATAACAATCATAGTAATAATACTATATGCTATTGTGTACGAGTTTATTATGTTACCTGGTACTTATTGTAAGTTTTATCGAATACACGCTATAATCACTGCAACTGTATATACATTAAGTATAAATGTATAATACCTATATATTATTTCATAAGCATCTGGAGCCGCGTAAAAAGGATTCTGATTGGCTGTCCAATACATTGTTACAATCATATTTTGATCGTCTAAATATATTGTTATAATAATACATTCATATTCATGTTCAGTGTTCACGTTCACGCACCCATACATAAATACACACATACATTGTATAAACACTACATTAACTCTCATGTATATTAATGTATCATATAAATATTATGTCACATTAGATAATATATTAAATCTTATGGTTTCATTTGTTGTTGTTTTTTTTTTTTTTTTTTTGTTGTTATTTCGGTATTATTATCTACCTAAGTACGTTACATTACTATAGTTCGTCCGCTTTTTATTTACACTCATTCTCATTTCTCATCAACAACCACATAATTATCATATAATATTATTTTTTTATTCTTATTCTCATTGATAGGTCGATAGACCTCTACATTAATGCATAATAAAATTTATTATTATACAATATACACTTTTGTGAACGAGTGGAAATATTGACACAATAATAAAAGAAATATAATCGTTACATACATAACATACGATCCAAGAGTTTTTACACATTTTGCTTTTAACTCACTTCATATTTCGTACTTCTACGAATTCTAAATAATCGTCTTGTGTCCACGATACAATATTACATTATCGTCTGACAAATGAACAATTGTAAAACTACATTTAGCTTCATTTCTAAAACACAAATATATCTTATTACGATGATTTACAGGTCTGATACTCGGAGTGTTTTGGAACTGTCCGCGTCTGTAGAGAAACCCTCGGTAGACAAAAACGTGAAACCCCAGAAAGACCCCACGAGTAACACACTGTCCCAAAGCCAAAGCAACAGTCTGCTGCAGGCTGAGTACACGACTGTCAAAACGAAATCTTATAGTATTATACCTAATTCTAAAGAGCTCGGTAGGCAAAACGACATTAAGACTAATAAATACAACACGGTCCCGTACGTCCCAAAGAAAGAAGTAAGCCAAACGACAATAATAATAATAATAATAATAATAATAATTATATAATTCAACCACTCTCTAATGATCTAATAACAACGAAAATGATAATAGGTACGTATAAATGTACCAACCTGCAGGAACTAACATGTGATCAATCAGAATCGCTAAATAGCGGCGCTCGATGCTCTATGAATATATAATATTATTATTATAGGTACATGAAGTGTATAATGTATTTTTGTTTTGTATATGAACACAATAATAATTTATATTAATATTATATTATAATGGGATACAGGACTGTACCTACATATTGTATTTATTACACATATAAATTGTGATGTACAGGGTGTGTCGGGACGAATCGACTGCATTTTTAAAGTGCGAGACGTCTGCGTTGACAATCTCAACTTAAGGTACGTGCGCTGTGCGCATGCATACGACACAAAGTCCTGCATAACTGACGTAAATATACAATTCCTACAACTCGACGGCATAAGTGCATTTTAGTTTTAACCGTCTTCGATAAATCTACCTGTATAAAGTACATTTAATTATCAATTTACCAACCGACTGAGCACTGCAAAATCATTGCAGTGGTACCGTGATAAAATCGAGAGTACAAGTTTACCCTGCGTGAAGGGTGGGCGACGTTGAGAGTGCCGAGTGAGGGAGACGCATCGCCCATATCGCTCTTATTTCGTTACTCTTAATTCTTATTATATATATATATATATATACAAACAGCTTTATTATACTGAACTCTAGCCCCATGAATTTTCTAAGTCCTATATTTACGTCTAAACATGCGTGGGAGGGGAACTCGAATGTAGATATTGGATAAAATGTCGAATCCTCGAGACACGCCCTGCATATTATTATGCATGAACAATACATATACATTTCTAAACCGTTAAATGCACAAGTGAATTTGTATAACACTAATTAATAATAATTAGTATTAATTACTTTATCCAGTATATCAATACATATTATTACTTATTATACTAATTATGTCTCGACAGTACAATCATAATATATATTATTATTTGTCCGTATTAACCCATAAACTCATTTTTCAAGACGTGGCTCGTCGTCGTCGTCTTCTTTTCATTTCAATAATAATTAATATAATTATTTTTTTGTCGTTTTTCCAGGCGGTGATCGTCCAGGACCCAGTGCCAGGACGAGTGAAAACTGTAACACCATATTTTGACAAAATGCCATCGGTCATCGTTACTAAAACCACGCAATACTGAAACTCGGGAATAACACCGCGCCTGCAATTCGTCTTCCATTTTGACTTCCATCGTCAAAACTCATCGAAATATTTAATACTGTTTGGTTTTACATTATGCGTACATAATATGTCGTGTATAACGTTTCATTTACAGTTTTATTTTTCTTTGTAACAATGCACCGCGCAAAACCGAAGAATTAAAAAAAAAATATTGACTAAAGTCCTGCTGTGTTAATTTTAATTTTAATTTTATAAGTATAATAAGTCGTTAGTTCCTGTGTTAAGTTTGCACGATTTTAGTTCACGATATACGATTGTCGGTGAATATAATATAAATAACGATTTTTAGAAAATTATTATAAAAACAAGTCTGTGATTTTACGACAATTTATATATTCGCTCCATTATATGGAACATGAAATATAATATATAATATATTTAAAAAAAAAATACAAATAATTATTTATATATTTTTATGTATACGTACTGACTACTGATAATAATTATTGCCCATAATTTAATAATAAAACAAGGTATGTTAAAATGTTATTAATTATATTGTTTATTTTTTCTCGCATATACGATAAAAATCTTTGTCAGTACACGTCTTCTTGACGCAACACTCTTTTAACATTGCCATTACTTCCCGCTTTTTAATCGTGACCTTTCCGGCATCATCACCTGAAATTGTTTTTCAAAAAATTGATTAATAAGTAATTAATCTCCAAATTTTAGAACCATACGTCTATTCACGTGTCTCGATCTGTCTTTGAAACCCGATAAGTTAATTGTACGCTGCAGTGGAGTAACGTTTGATTCTGAAAGAAAAAAAGAAAAATTACTATTAATAAATATTATGCAAACGAATAATACAATATCACTGCAGCGTTGACATTTGTAAAGACATCAAAATATTAATTTTTGATTTAGTACTGTATTATTAAGTACTTATTAAAATATTGGATATACATATATTAGCGACAGATCTAAGGAACTCAGAGGCAACTTCTCCTCACCATTTTCACAACCAAACTGTCTAACTTTTCATAATACCTACTTGTCAAAGTTATCAATTAATGTAGATATTTCACTTATTTTTTAAACCATTGGGAATAATATCAACTATTACGAACACTAAAACTGTAGCAAAAAATTAAAATACAGATATGCAAAACTAACGGTACTATTAGTGTTCTATAATATCTAGGTACCTTAGATGCAATCTATAGATGTTGGTTTAAATATTAATATTATTTTGAGTATATTAATGTGCTGTGTAGACATATGATACACTATTTTTTTTTTATAAATATGTATTAATAAGATTTTTAAAATAATATTGTGTACCTCTCTACTTTTTTTATTTGATTTTTTTTTTTTTGCTCAGTAAGTAGTATTCTTATAGAAACTCTCCTTAGTGTTCTATCCAAAATCCGCCATTGAACTAAATAAATATTTGAAAATTAAGACAAATTTAAGAAAATATAATATTGTGTTGTTCTAAACTAAAAAAAATATTGTGTATATAACAAATTAATGACGATTATAGTCGGTCAGTGTAAAAAAAATTTTAATTTAAACTTGTTCTGTATGTGAAAAACGATTCTTGCGAGCAGGGTAATATTATTTTATGTTATTTTGTTCTTATGGTAAATGTTTAAATATTCAATTTTGAGAATAGTTTCTGGTATAAAATTTAATTTAGTTGGTACTCAAGAGAGGTCAAAAGTAAAAATTTCCAGCACTTTAAAAATAATCAGGTAAAAAAAATTAAAAATGTGGAATTTTGCGAAAAACTAATGTCAATTATTTCTCAATAATTTCTTGAATATGGTGAGTAATAAGCCTTATTTTAGTTAAGTTATGAAAAACATAATACAGTTAAAAACCTTATACTTAGTTAAGCTTGGATAAAGCTATTCATTAAAATCAAAATTCACGAATGTCGAAAACTGCGTCTCATTATCTAAACAGGCTGTCTTTCATTCGTAATGAATAGGGTATAAAAAATTTATAACTTATAGGATATAGGGTACAAACTACAAATCGTAGACTCATTATGAGTTCTAAAAGATACTTTTATGTATATAATTTATACAAACTACTTTATTTGTTATTCATTTTAATTAATAGTTACTCAATATTAGTTATATAGTAGGATTAAGACAGCATACGTGACGGTTTAGCCGAGACTGTACCAATTTGAAATATAATGTCCTTGACTCTTTGTGTTCTGATAAAGACAGTATTGTCTCGAAATTAAACTTCAAGATTTTTAGTAGAACAATAATACTGTTTTAATAAATAATAAAATAATCAAATTGATTACACAAAATCTATTTTCAATGATGACAACAATTAATTACGAATATGTTCACTTGCAACAATTTATATCATTAATCACTAAAAAAAATTAAAGTAAATTTAGATCCCACAAAAAATAACATTAAAAGCATTAATTAAATTATCTGAAAAAATAAAAAATACCATTGCATTTCAACCCCATAATATTGTGTACCTACTTTAATTTGTACAATAGGTACTACATAGTTGAAATTTGATAAAAGTATAACAAATCTAAATACTGGGATAAGGTTACCTACTACAACACCCGTAATATGAAATTGAATTCAAAGGGTTTTAGAAGGTTATCTAAAATTCTACAAAATAAAGAAGACAATACTGCGATGTTGAAATGTATAATTTCAAAAGTAAAAGAGTTGGTTAATGCTTCTAAATTTCATGTATCTACGCACGGTTATTAAATTCTGAGTTACACCAAAAAAATAAATAAAAAATTATAATCGATTAATCGATTTTATTGAATACTAATTTTGCATAAAAATTCCATTTATGCTTTAGACTTTTTTTCTCAGTTACTTTGAAAATTATTGAAAAATTTATTCTTATGATCCCCACCATACTAACTAGATCCAATTTACTATCAAAAACCACCCCCAAAAGTTGAAAATCTAAACACTTTTACTGCCTCTAAATATAAAAGGCACGAAAATAAAAATATCTAACAAAAACAGTCTCGCTATTGTAAAATCCAATACATTCATCGCACAGAACCTAAAAAAACGAACCAATTTTTTTACAAAAACTCAGGTTTCAACAATATTTAATTTTTTGTTGCAAATAAAAAATATTAATTATAAAAACTTGAAACTTCCAATATTATTTAAATTATCATTATTCGTAAAACGATATTATCGTCAAGTCGACTGTAGTGTTGAATTTCTTATAATGTCTAATTTAGTTCTATTGGTTGTACTATACATAGAACCTAGGTACCTGCAGCGAGGCATGTCGTCATATTGTACATTATTTCGAACTGCTTTAGACATAAAATAATGCAACAAAAGATTCAAAAAATATATAGCACATTTCACGGTTCTATAAACACTTAGTAAATTATTACCTATTTTGACGAATTTTCTTTCTACCCAATTTTCTAATTTAAGCACGTGCACCGCAAAATGAACAACTAATCGAATTCGTTTTGTTTAAAAAAAAAAAAAAGTCGATACTGATTGGTAACGACATATCGTTTTACTGGTCTGCTGAGAAAACTACCACGTAACTTAAATAATTTTTAAGTGCCTAATATTATGTTCTCACGAGTCAACAACTACTTCCTATTCGTGAAAGATTGATTACTATACCGAACGTACATACGTTAATAATGTTAGGGGGCACGTCGTGATAAATACCTTTTGGTTTATTCTTATTAGATTTTTTCAGTTGCAAGTCTGCTTCTGCGATGTCTCTGACCAAGTCTTTGAATTCGCGTTCAGCATCGCCCAACATTCCCCCTAGACTTAACCCAAATAACGAACCAGGATTGCTATTATCAGCGAGTGAGCGTTTAAATCCAACCATTCCACAAACGTGCACTACCATATCCTTGATGAATTTATCGTTGCACGGTTCTACAACTTCAACAGATGCCTGCATTACAAAAAATACGGTCACCTGCACTAACGTCGCGCTCGTCTAAAATACCACAAAAAAACGTTAACACAACAAATAGAAGTGAAAAAAATGGACGTTTGTTATACAACAGAGATACTTTTATAGTTTTATTAGGTAGGTCAAAAAAAACTTACAATTTTCAACATATTAGTTCTGTTTCACGATAAACGCTCATCAAGTCACGAGACATCAATATACTAACTCGTCATCTTATAGATGAATCCCTTAAATAGCATTTTAGAGTCTGTTTTATCAGTTTTGTTAGAATTATTCTCTTATTGTTCAGAAATGTTTTTAATGAGAAAAAAATGTGATAAAATCATGACTCAATAATACAAATAAAATAAACAACACATTCCTGTCCATAGACGAACGATGACATTGTTATTTTAAAATATTTTAATATAAACATAAGACGTTTACTAAACAAATGTCTATTGATAATACGTAATTTAAAACACAATATAAATATAATATGTATAATAATAAAGATAAACTCTTGAGATAGATGATTTTATTTGAATCCGCAACATAGAGCTTAGGCCGCAATTGCTTTGTATGGTCGTTTTTGCATCATATTGATTTTGTCACCGAGACTGAGTGCCATTCCCTAAAATCAAATTTTATAACATAATATATTATTATATTCATGGATTAAACTTAAACAAAAATCATTGCTATTAAATCACAGAAACAACTTTTGCCGATTGTAAATTCTAAATTTCCCTATATACCTATGCAAAACAAATTAAATTTTTCTATTGGTTTAAACTTTATAGTAATAAATATATAGTTAAATACAGATTTAAAAAAAAATTGTTAAACAGTTTTCTACAGTATGATATAATTTTATATATATATATATACACACAATCCAAATTTAAACTCATTTTTATTGTTTAAGAACTTTCATTCGGCTAGCTTAGTTATTCATTATTATTAATAGTCATAACCCGTGCAAGAAATATAATCATTGAGTTTATTTTTCATTTTAAAAATATGTTAATGATTCATTGCAGCTGACATGCAGAAATGCCAAATAAAGTTATATAATATTAAATCAGGTATAATGTAGATTTGCTAAATTTTATATTCAATTACATTGTGATGTTATCAGTAAACCAGGGCTAATATTTACAGTTTTTATGTTCATTGTTATTGAATTCTACTACTAAAAGATTATTTCCCAAATATTTTACATGCATTTTTCTAAAGATATTTGTAAGTATTATCTATAAAAAAATGTCTAGAAATATAGGTCACAAGCTATTTTAAACACTATACATTTCAGTTTGATTATTAGTATAAATGAATTATTTTTTACCTAATAATGACAGAGTTAACAGTGAACACACAATAACAAGACAAACTAATTCTTTAATCAAACACTTATTTAAAATTCTATTAATTTTTAAAAATATTTTTTTTACATAAATTCCAGTCAAAAAAACCAAAATCTTCATTATTATATTTTTTGAGTTTTTTCATTTTTTTGTATGCCAATATACATTTTTAATTTCATATTCTAGAGCAGAATATTTTTGGATTATTTCAATAAATAAAAATAAAAATTTAGATGAGCAGTATATGAGTTACAAGTATTTAATATTTAAATAAGAGGTTTGATAATGACCCAAAGGTCCCTCTAACCAACCTAACCTAACCTAGCCAAACACTACAACAAATTCCACTCCTGTTACCTCAACATACATACCAACCCCCTTTATCTTAAATCTCTCATCTCACACACTTCCAAACAATCCTTCCCAAAGGCGATAAAATGACGATAGCCAAAGAATTTTCACCAACTTTAACAATATTCTAATATAAATTGCATTTAACTTAAATATGTTGAAGTGCTATCAATGAATAACATCTTTAAATCATGCACATTTTCTACTATGCACACCCCACCCTTCTCAATATAGCTATAAGTAACAGATTGTTGATTTATCTAAAATAAAAATATTTTAAAAAAATGCGAGGAATGTAGTAGTACGGGGACAACATAGAATATTGGTCTATTACTCTACTTGTCTAAGCATTTAATACTAATAAATCATAAGCTACTCATTTGAATTTCGATTGTTATGTATATTTATAAAAATACTTGATAGTTACGAATAGTTATCTCTGTAGCTCAGAGTATTTTTAAAATCCAATGACTCAGTTTTACAATAATAGAATATAATTTAAATAGTATTCTATGTATAATAAAATATTTGTTTTCAATACTTCATTCACTATCAGTTCATAATAACATCGCATAATTATTATTTTGTTTACATAATACTATATGAATCCATATAATGTACAGTATACAAATGTAATATTTTGACCGAACATTTTTTTACAAGAAATAAAAACTATGAAATTTATTGCTTAACATTCAATTTTTGAAGTATGAACAATAAGTGTGAGGTGTAGATAATATTTTAGTATTATTTTGTAATTACCTGGCTTTTAGCTCGAATTCTAATATGACCAATAACTTGTGGCTTATCTAATCCCTTTTCAATACTTAAATTTGCCAATGCATCTTCACCAAATATTGATCTTGCATATAAATTTGCTGCCATAAATCCACACTGTCCTGACAATGCTTTTTCAGGTGTTAAACATTTCATATTAGTGCTCTTCAATAAATGTGCCAAATATTCATTAAGATCTGTCAAACTAGTGGAAACAGAAACCTAAAACAATTTTTAATTAACAACTAAACACTTAAATGCAAAAAATACAAAAATAACTATACTTTGTTTTCCCACTCAAATTCAGTCCACATTTGACGGAACTCAGAGTCATTACATACGGCAGGCATTATGTAGTCCATTATGTCTATACGGATGTCATCTAATACAACCACATTTCGATCACCAATTGCACCGCCAATATCATAGACTAATATAAATAAATAATTATTAATAATGACTAAAGTTATAATAATAAAACTTTATTAATTTACCAATATTTCCAAAGATTATGCCATTTTCAGTAGACGCAACTTTAACACTAGCTTTAATGTTACAGAAATCATGAGGAGCCAAAACAACAGGTTGGGGTTTTTCAACCAACTTTAAATCTCCCATTGTAGCCAACTCCAATGTACAATTTTGTAATGTGTCACCTTATATGTTATATTATATATTATTAAGATTATAAATAATTTGTACTTATATTATATTTTTTTACCTGTTTGATTAACAATCAATACATCTAAAACAATATCATACTGATTGACATGAACATAAGCCTCAGCATACACTGGATCAGAAAATCCAGTAAGTTGTGTAACTTTATTAAGTTTGCTATTGATAGAAAGTCCTGATGCACCATCGCCACTATTCTGGTGAATAGAACCACCACCAACGACAGCCTGGTTTAAGCTAAGTTCAAAAACATTTTCTGTACCTTCTGTACCGTTGCTACTGGTACGTAAAAATACAATAGCATCATCAACATTTACTTTATGTCCTGGTTTTTCTTTAGCCTAAAAAATTATAAATTTATAATAATTTTAAGATAGTAATACTTTTGTTCTATAAATTATATTTATTAGCCTACTTTTTTATTGCTGCTTTCTTCGTCTTCTTTAGCAGCCAACATTTCATTCAATGATTTGCTGCACTCCTTAGTATAAATTTCTTCAATTTCGCTATCCCTATCATTTAATATTTTAATACTTTCCATAATTTTGTCTCCATCATCAATGCCAATTGGTTTAGAACAAATTCCTAAATAAATCAACAAATCAATAAATATTAATATTTTGACATTAATTTAATTAATACCTCTCAGAAAGTATTTTACTGCAACTCGTTTATGAAAACACCAGTTCTTTCTATTATATTTTTTTTATAGCTTAAAAAAATTATAGTTTACTACAAATAAAATTAAATACAGAATAGCTTAATCTGGTTTATTTTAATAAAGTATTAATGAAATCAATTTATACTATATATCTGTGAAATTTACTTATTAGATATTTTAAGAATAATGATTAATAAAATTCTATTAGTATTTGACAAGGTAATATAATAGCAATACTCATAATTTAATTCACTCAACAATAAACCACAAATATAACTTATTAGATCCTATAAGTGGAACTTACACACATGATGTTTACAGAATGTGGAAAAATGCTAAATAAGGCAAAAATAAATGAAGGAATAAAAAATAAACACTCTTAATATATATAAGCAATCTATATAGAGAAGTAAATTAAATAGACAGTATTCATTAAAGAAAAAACTGAAAGATAAATCAGTATTTTGACAATTTAAATGATTTTCATGAGCTTATTATAGTTTACTTTATATTTCATAATTATAATTATTTTTTACTATTTTATCTATCACAATATGAATTATGTGATGAATGGATTAGGACATTGAAAATATGAAGAAAAAAAATAAAGCATAGCATTACCTATATCTGAGAAACAGCAAAATACTTTTTGAATGGGCAGAAACCAGTACTTTTTTTTTATTTAATTAAATTTACCTGATTTTCCAAGCTTCAAAATATAAGTTAAAATTAACATTAATTTGACACAAAATTGATTTGCTTTTATAGAATCTTGTTCTTCCCAAATTTCAGCATATCTGATACCCAATTTAGTGAATGTAGTGCCTAATGCTGCACCAATATAGAAATCTCCATCAATTAGATACTGGCGTAATGGTGGCCGTTTTGCCTGACCACTACGAGGAGTATTTATAATGAATGCTGATTGAGTAGCATATGTTCCATCAGATGTAACCAACTGTGAACCACTAGACCCAAATTCTTCAATGTTTTCTGAATCTCCAGCTGCTTTCTTTAATTCATCTTCAACTAAAGGCATCTAAAATAAATCAACATATTCTTATTAATACATTATTAAGCTGTTATACATAACATAGAAGTTATAAGTTATAAAGCAAAAATATTTATTACCATTATTAATTAGGACAAACATTTTAAACTTTAATAAATTTAGACAAATATACAATTATACACAGTTTGTACTAGAAAACTTTAAGATTAAACCAATGGACAAGAATATCCAGTAAAAAAAATTATGCTGAAATATAATAAAACAAATAAAATTCAATTGTTATTTGAAATGAACAATTTGTATTGCTATTTGAATAAATTGCTTGTAAATAGTTTAAAATATATATACCAAATATTAACCCTATTTAAATTGATGAATTTGTGCTAATTTTCTTTAATAGATATAACTAGGGCTCAAATTTTGTAGCAAAATAA